CACAAAAAATCCAAATTCAGATTTGCTTCATCACAAGACATGATGTTTGAGATCAAAAAAGGAATTTGTTCTTTTACATTTTATACATTTTATCATCAATGTTTCGATTTTACATAGCTTTTAGGGGACATTTCATACTCATTTGTTAATATTCATCTCATAATGAAGAGTAAATGTATTGGTGAAGGCTGCCATCGTATCTTCGAGAAATCTCGTAAATGAAAATGTACAAGAAATGTAAAACATCCATAATATAAATGGCTTTTGGATAAATTGACTAAAAGTGGCATAGATTGTTCAAATGGAGAAAATAGTATTTGTCCGAAGTGCTACGTTAGTTACATGTATCTGCGCAAAAGAGAATCTGAAACAGAACTTTTGCAAAATGAAACTACTAATAGTTGCCATCACTTAACAAGGACCTGTTTTATGGGTCCTGTTCTCATAAAAAATGTTGTCTTTGTTTTAACAATTTTAATTCGAAGGGAAACAAATCCACACTCTTCCAAAACGAGCCAGGCATCCGTTATGTTTTGCACACAAAGTGTGGTGTACTGTGCCATCACGTGTATGATCATTTCATCGTATTGGTATAATGGCGTGAGCCCATGTACACAGGTTATTCTACAAGGAAGTGAGCCTTTGGATTTTGAATTATTAAGCAGGTCGTCTAAAATAATTGATGACATTTTAGAAGTGTCATACATCTTATCACAGAGTCAACCAGCCTTCACTCTCAAAGTTTCTCTCTTGGATGACCCTGGCTGCAAAGCTTGGGCAGGTTGCTCCAAAGAACAGTTTTTCAAAATCCATTAGGACTTGGTCCCATTTCTTTCCTCTTCAGTATACTTTAGTAACCAAAACTACACAAAACGCTCTTTCATTGTTTTTTGTTAAGGTGAAAACTAATGTCTCTTGGAATCAGTGTTCTGCTCTTTTTGTCATTTCCCTGTCTAGTGTTTCAAAAATCCATCATTATGTGGTACAAACATTGAATTAATCTATAGTTCGACTGTTCCTTGGTTCTGACCGTTTGAGTAGGGAACAGATACTTTCACTCAATACTGTATTCTCAGAAACATTTTTGGGGCACATAGTGACAGAGTGACTACCATAATAGACGGTGCATATATGTATATTAAAAAAAGGTGCTAACCATAAGCTTCACAGAATGTCTTACTGTGGCCACAAGAAGCGTAATTATCTTAAATACACGAGCATAGCTCTACCTTATGGCTACATTTTGGACACAGTAGGGCCGTTCTCTGGAAGCCAAAATGATACAAGCATTACAAAAAACATCATAGACAAGCTCACATGGTTGGAGTAAGACGTCTATTTAGTCGTTGATCGTGGTTTTAGATATGCGCTGCCAATGTTGAGGCATCTGGTATCAATATCAGTATGCCCTCGTATCTTAAGGTTCAACAAGCCCCCTGAAAGAGGCTGTGGTCACCCTAAATTCCAACCCCATGATAGGTCATATTCAAAGACCCAAATTAAAAATTGGAACTAATATACGATTTAAATATATTTGACTTGTACATTAGCTATTAAAATGTTCCATAACGAGGTTAAAATAGTCAATAAAAAAATATTAAGGCTGACGTTTTCATCAAAATAGTTCATCGGACTTAGAACATGTCAATCTCTTTTGAAGCCCAACTGAATGCTACGAAATGACATGTTATTGAAGTCCATTGATATGCCTACGTCATGCGGAGCGAAATTTCTCTTAAATTAGCCGTGGAGAGGCATAGCTGCCTAAAAAGCAGATGATTTTTGTTATGGGAATGCACAAAAATAAAAGTAAATTGCCAGAGTGGCATCTGGTATATTTTTTCGTAACATTTAATGTTGTTAAAAAAATGCTATACATGTTATAAACATTTAAGCGCTTTTAAGTTTCAATGTTTATACATGTAAAATGTCTAGCGCATTCATGACATCACTGACAGTTATGAAATGGCACGTCCTGTAAAGTTCATTTATCGATTTAGGTAACGTAGCATTTGTTTTCTTGTTTATAATCTGCGAAAATGTATTACCAGCGAATTTTACAGCTGTACTATGATTTAAGCAGTTTCGAATGGACACATCTATCTTATTTTGAGGCTACTAAGCCTCTCTACAGCTAGTAAAAGAGAAATTAAGCTCCGGATGACCTAGGTATATATATATGAACTTCATATAATATGTCATTTCATAACATACATTTGGGTCGCTTAATAGAATGACATGTTATAAGTCCGGCGAACTATTTTTTTATGAAAACGTCAGCCTTAATGTCTTATTATTGACTACGTTAACCTCGCTGCGGGACATTTTAATGGCTAGTGTACAAGTTCAATATATCCAAACTACAAAGTTCTGATCTCTACTTGGAGTATTTGAATATAACCTATCAGGAGGTTGAAATTTAGGGTGACTATAGCCTCTTTCATGGGGCTTGTTGGTCAGAGCCAACACACTGATCTACAGGCTAACATTGACAGGACAGTTACTAAATCCCGATGGATCGTACAGTAGTCTTAGCATGGCCGTCTTAAGCATTGGACATTTTTAGAACTCAACTTATTTCAAATTACTTCATTGATATAATTAAGGAAGTGCTTAAGATTGTGACTGCATGTCTCAATGGCATACGGCGCGGGGACCAATTTATCAAAGATCACCGGAAATTGACAGAAAAAACGGAGAACTCGCAAAAAGAAATAAAGTTTCGACTTGCAAAAACAAACTGTTTATCTCAGTAGGTTCAAGTTCAAGTTCTTTATTAACTTTGAGTCTTGCGACTCATCAGTGTAACACATATACATAATATATATATATATATATATATATACTTTCTCATAACATTGACAAATATCGAAAATACTAATAAATACACAGACGAGACAAAACACTCGGAGAGCATAACTACTTATGTTAATAAAGCTCTTCTTGAATTTGCAGCTTTAATGTATTTGGCCAATTTTGCTAATTCATTTGTGTTTTGTCCGTTAAATAACTGAATTAATTTAAACATGCTCGGTTTTTTACAAAAGTACTTTTTTTTAAATTTCTCACGTAAATCAGAATAACCGGAGTAGGTGAAAAAAGAAACAGCTCTCTCCAAGAGAGCAAAGTCAGAATTCGCTAAGATGGATATTCACTCTTTTTGTCCTGAGCTCAATTTGGAATATTTGAAGACTATAACGTACGGCACTTACCAGTTATCATTAGCTCCAGACTATATCAGTAAACGTCTTAGTGATGATGGAGATTATGAAATATGGATGTATCAGCACTCTCAAGACCTCATCTGTTGTCAGATTCTTTCCAGACACAAGAGCCAGACTAAATAGTATGTTTGGATTCGGTACAGCACGACACCGAATGATAATAATCCAATAAAAGATTACTACTGTCAATGCCCAGTTGGTCAAAGAACTACGGGAATGTGTGCTCATACATCAAGTATACTTTATTATAATAATAATAATAATAATAATAATAATTGGAGGTTCTTAAATACCGCTTTATCACATTCTAGTTCGTTTGTCGTCTCAAAGCGGTTCACAAATTATAATGGCCTTTGCAACCAGCCAACACATTTCTCAACTCCCTGGGGAGCATACAACCGGAGCTGCCATTTCGGCGCTAACAGCTAACATTCAACAATTCTAGCACTACCCAACCACGTACTCATTTACAGCTGAGTAGACTGGAACAAGCAGAGTAAAGTATCTTGCTCAAAGATACAACACATTGCCGTGCCGTGGCGCGAACCCGCAACCTTCGGTCACGAGCCTAGCGTCCTACATGTACCACTGGACTACCGTTCCTCCTATTATCGTAGCTAGCATAGCAATCTTCAAAATCGAGAACAGTTGTACCCAAGGGCTAAGAAGTCCCGACACAGCATAAAATAAGTTGTTTTCTTGTGAATCTAGAATCACCAGTTTGAAAACAAACTCAAAGCCTCGTATCATTTTTCTCTTCCTTCTTTTTTCCAAGACTGCCATTCGAACACATTTCATGCTCTTGCATCTTACCAAACATTATCTTTAAATATCATTAGCTGTTAATAGGGCGTCTAACTTTAATATATATATAAACATGGTAACAAACAAACACACAATCTCTGAATTACATTGATATTGCAAGAAGATTGTCTGGCAATCTAACAACTGATAAGGCAGTAGAATGATTGTGCTGGTGGCCATCTTGAAAAGTAATAAACCAACGAATCTTTTCCAAACATTTTCCTGTTGATTAAATATTCATTTCATCCAAACTGGAAGAAAGATTTTCTTCTTTTCTGTCAATTTACAATTATAATAATTAGACTATACACATAGCCATGAATTATGATGTATATACCATATGGTCATTTGATCCCTTTTTTGAATATGTTCCACCAAATATTTTGGATTGATATTTTTGTCACTGGTAGTTTATGACCTGGTCCTTCTATGATCAAAATACTTTTGGTGTACAAAAGTTGTAAGTTATTTTTATTCTAAGATGAACACATTTTTGTCTGGAAAATATCATTGCTTCAAATGGCTTCTGGCTATTGATTTGTCTGTACATATTTCTACATGCATACTGTAGATTATAATAAAAAATCACTTACATAATACTTAACGCACTACAGCACAAGACCGACTTCCGTAATCGTCGGTATCCACGGAGGAAGTATCCCTAGTTTTTGGTTGCATCATTTCAGTTTAAGTTTTTACAAAAAACGAACCAAGTGCATATTTGAATTTTAATGGGTGTTTTTTGTTTTGATAAGGATTCGGTTTACACCTCAACGAAAGAAAATTGACATCAACCAATTAGCAAGGGCCCATTTTGTTCCCAGTTAGTTAAATTAACTGCGTGATGAAGCATCACAAATTAAACCTGTGCGATACCGTTGATATTTGGCGCATATTGGAATGCAATTTAATGGTGTGCAACCTAAAACAACCTACAGTAATTCGATTTCATAGAGTTACGTCGCCTGAAAAACGAACACTTCCGGAATCAACATTGGACATGCATTCTACATTGAAGAAGTAATATCGCATGTAATGACTGATCTAACATATCTGAAAAGATAATCAAACATGCATATTAGGATCAAAATATAAGGTGTAAACAGAAGTGTTTAAAACATGCCTTACTGTCGATATGGTGATGTGCCGGCGGACGTACGTTACAGACTAGCCGAGGGTTTGGGGATTTCGGTCTGATCGACTAGGTAGGACTAATTATTGACACGTGCCATTACAATCAGTATAAACTTCTGAAGTCCTGCTTGAATTACATAAAGATTTATTGATTTTTTTCTCCATCCACACATATATTTATATATATATATATCCATGTGTTACCCGAATCCCTCTGGTTATCGACCGTTGCCATATAAACAAATTATTTTCATTAATGACGACACAGTTTCAGAATGTACACGTGTATTTGTTTACTTTTCAGAACCATGATTGTCAACAATACTGATTGCTATAAATGAAACAGTGCTCCAATGGTTTTCACACAGGTAATTCCTCAAGTTTAATATGTTTTCAGATAATAATTTAGAGTTCTTACATATCAATGAGATTTATATCCTCTTTGGTTTTATATCTTCTAGTGTACCATCAGTTATTCTGTGTATTGTAGATTATATACAGTTACTTAAGTTTTATGTTAGAACTATTGTAGTTTAAAAATACAAGTACATGTAAGTGTTGATTAATAGAAATCATGTGTGAATAGTACAATCTTTATTTAAACTGATATATTTTAGGTAAAATTTAAAGCAATCACTCATCCATTTTAGTAGTTACATATAAAGAAGTGATTACATTATATTTATATTAGTACTGTAATAAAATTGATGTTTTAGATATTGCTTGTGAAAAGTTTCATTTCTTTTTGTAGATGGACGTTGTATCATGGTTCCTAATCGTAGTGATGTTGATGGTGTTGGCATTTGTTTTGATGAAGATGTATCGACTCTATCGCCTCCAACACTACGAGGTTCGTGCCCCGGACATCCACCGTGGCCATCGCTGGTATATGATAGATATATTTCCTGAGCAAACTTACTGTACCATCGGCCACTACAGAATAAAACATGGGGCAACATGTGACTCATGTGGGGTGTGTGTTGATGATCATAACATGAAAGCCGCAGACAAGAAGATCCACTGTAAGCCTGTGTCTGAGATTGGTCGAGGAACTCTTCATCATTGGGTTCAGGGCAATCTACCACTGTATAGTAAATGTTTCATTTGTGGTGAAGATTGCGGTGTGCTACCTCAGATCTGTGATGTTTGGTGTGCATGGTGTCGAAGGACTGCCCATGAGAACTGTAAGCGAGTCAGTGATCTATGTGATCTTGGCCGTTTTAAGACTGTCATTGTACCCCCTAATTGTGTCCGACTTAAACAAGTGGGGATAAAGGGTAGACGACGACTGGTGGTTGCCTCGGCGAGTCACCCAAACATTGCAAACTGGAGTCCCCTTATAGTAGTAGCCACAAGGAAAAGTGGTAACAATGAAGGGGAATTTATTCTCAGGGCCTTCCGAGGTTTTCTACACCCCTCACAGGTACATGTTTAGCATTGTCATTGCACGAATCCTTAACTCTTACCGTTCTTTGCTTAGGTATACATGTTCATTTTTGTATGTAGAGGTCCCAGGATATTTAATGGTTTCCTGTTCAATATTGTACATTTAGGGTTGATGAAGGATTGAAAATATATCTGATACATACGTAAATTGGGTGATATTAAATAAGAAAGCATTCTATTTTTCATATTTCCTGAAATAGCAGGACATCGCTAATTAATGATAAAAAAAGTCATGGTTTTTAGCTTTCAAATATTGCATATAAAATGAATTGAATTGTTTCTTCCTTTTTCGGCTATTTTATATGTGTAGAACAAGTCGTTTGTCATTCATGCCTTAATTTGAAACCTTCAACACTTCTACTTCTACACTTCTCACAGAGACAACACAATACTTCTACTTCTACACTTCTCACAGAGACAACACAATACTTCTACTTCTACACTTCTCACAGAGACAACACAATACTTCTACTTCTACACTTCTCACAGAGACAACACAATACTTCTACTTCTACACTTCTCACAGAGACAACACAATACTTCTACTTCTACACTTCTCACAGAGACAACACAATACTTCTACTTCTACACTTCTCACAGAGACAACACAATACTTCTACTTCTACACTTCTCACAGAGACAACACAATACTTCTACTTCTACACTTCTCACAGAGACAACACAATACTTCTACTTCTACACTTCTCACAGAGACAACACAATACTTCTACTTCTACACTTCTCACAGAGACAACACAATACTTCTACTTCTACACTTCTCACAGAGACAACACAATACTTCTACTTCTACACTTCTCACAGAGACAACACAATACTTCTACTTCTACACTTCTCACAGAGACAACACAACACTTCTACTTCTACACTTCTCACAGAGACAACACAATACTTCTACTTCTACACTTCTCACAGAGACAACACAATACTTCTACTTCTACACTTCTCACAGAGACAACACAATACTTCTACTTCTACACTTCTCACAGAGACAACACAATACTTCTACTTCTACACTTCTCACAGAGACAACACAATACTTCTACTTCTACACTTCTCACAGAGACAACACAATACTTCTACTTCTACACTTCTCACAGAGACAACACAATACTTCTACTTCTACACTTCTCACAGAGACAACACAATACTTCTACTTCTACACTTCTCACAGAGACAACACAATACTTCTACTTCTACACTTCTCACAGAGACAACACAATACTTCTACTTCTATACTTCTCAGAGACAACACAATACTTCTGCTTCTACACTTCTCACAGAGACAACACAACACTTCTACACTTCTCACAGAGACATCACAATACTTCTACTTCTACACTTCTCACAGAGACAACACAATACTAATACTTCTACACTTCTCATAGAGACAACACAATTACTTATACTTCTACACTTCTCACAGAGACAACACAATACTTATACTTCTACACTTCTCACAGAGACAACACAATAAAGAAAACAAAGAATGCAATACTATATACTATATACACATTACAGACTATTATTTCCCTGTCATATCAGTTATACAACTAATGCTGTATCTAACACAGGGTAAGTTAGCTTCTGGATTCTGTGTACATACATTTTCTCCCTATTAACGGTTGTAATGCTATGTTGTATTACAGGTGATTGACCTAAATGATGTGCCGCCTGAGAACGGTCTGGAGTGGTGCCACCTCCTCCCCGATGTCACCTTCCGTGTTCTGGTGTGTGGTGGTGACGGTACCATTGGATGGGTGCTCAATGCTATTGAAAAACTTAAACTGAAAGTAAGTGAATTTATATCAAAAGGAATTATATCTGCCAAAGGAACCTAAATATTTTACAGCATTTGTACTGTTATGAGTTAATACTCATTTGGAAGCACAGTAGTCTAGTGGTGGGACGCTGGGCTCATGACCGAAGGGTTGCCAGTTCGACTCACATCACGGTACTGTGTTGTATCTTTGAGCAAGATACTTTACACCGCTTGTTCAAGTCTACTCAGCTGTTAATGAGTATGTGGTTGGGTAGTGCTAGAATTGTAGAATGCTAACTGTGAGCACCGAAATGGCAGCACCGGCTGTATGGTCCCCAGGGAGTTGAGAAAGATATTGGCTGGTTGCAACGGCCCTATAACCACGGATAAAAATTTGTGAACCGCTTTGAGACGACCTGCGAACTAGGTTGTGATTAAGCGGTATATAAGAATCTCAAATTACTATTATTATTATTAGTACTAAGGCAGGTTTAACTCCAAACATCAGCGCAACTTGTGTTGGATCTAAATTAAAATTGCCCCTGTAAAAACTGTTTATCTCTGTGTAATCCTTGATGAAACTATTGACCAATTATTAGCTCACCTGGCACGAAGTGCCAAGTGAGCTTATGCCGTGGCGCGGCGTCCGGCGTCCGTCCGGCGTCCGTCCGGCGTCCGGCGTCAATATTTTACTTTAAACGACTTCTTCTTAATAACCGAAAGGCCTAGGGTGTCGATATTTGGCCAGAAGCAAACTTGGATGAAGGGCTACAAAGTTTGTTAAAATAAATGACCTTCACCTATTTTCAAGGTCACAGGGGTCAAATATGTCAAAAACTTTAAAAATCTTCTTCTCAATAACCAAAATGCCCAGGGAGATGATATTTGGCCAGTAGCATGCTTGGGTGAAGGGCTACCAAGTTTGTTCAAATGAATGACCTTCAATTATATTCAAGGTCACAGGGGTCAATTGTATTAAAAAAC